AATAATAACGGTACAGGATAAGAGTATAAGATCCAGCTTCTATCATTAAGCATAATCATTAGATATCGATCTAAACCCGGATGCATTATGTAGCAATTAAACACATACAAAAATTATCTCAAAAGAACAAAAGATTATATGCTTGCATATGCCCTAAGAAATTTGATCTCTAATGGATACACTAATGCTAACTTTCAATCAGAAAGACAAAAGTAAATCCATATATTGCACTATGTTAATTTGATTTGAAAGGAGGGCTCATAGTTCAAAGAAGTACAAAAACAATCATTTATATTTGACTTAACTAAAGAATTTGAATATGTGACTGCTACTGAAGCAATTATAGAGGTAATTATGCTTTATAATTTTCTTATAGAATTGAGAGTTGTTTCGAATTCAAAATAACTTCTAATATTATTTTGATATAATAATGTTGCTATATCAAACAAAAAAGGTATCAGAGGTTATAAAAAAGCAAAGATATAGATATATAGTTTCATTTTGTAAGAGAGATTATGAAAAAGGACAAGGTATTGATAAAGAAGAGAACATCAAAGAGAATATTAATGATCCATTTATAAATATATTGTTTAAATGGTCTTTTTGATATGTATATCGAAGTAATAGGATTAAAAAATGACTCATTTGTTTTAGGGCAACTAAGAGTTCGTTAGTGAGTGCACTTTTAAATAATAATATTGTGCAGAAGATATAAAGTATCATTTTATAAGAAAGATAACGAAAGAGGGCAAGGCATCTATACAAAATATAGCATTTCAACATAATATTTTTTATCCATTTACCAATACTTTCCTAGGTATGTTGTTTCATTGACATGTAGAAGTATTAAGATTAAAGAAAATGCCTTGGTTGCTTTAGGGAAAATGGGAGTTTGCTAGGAAGTGTGGCCTAAAGTAATGTTAATATACTTTATCATTTGTTAAATTAAATATTTAAAATTAGAATTTCTGATGTCAAGAAATTTCGATGTAGCTCATTATTTAAATAGAAGAGATTAAAAAAAATAAGTGTTGTATTTTGATGAATGACAAAGGCTTCATTTGGGACGGCTGTCTTACTGCATCTTAAAATATTTTTTTAGTGCAAAAATTAATTTTTTTTGTACTAAGAAACCGCTTTAAGAAACAGTAAGAAAGTCATCCCAAATGAGTCCAAAACACTCTCAAATAATCCAAAAGAAAACTTATAAATATGTGGTAACACCTACGGCCGAAAAGTACTTTCTAACAGCTTACAGTTTGCTTTTTTAAACAATTCATATATATATATATATATATGAACGCTCGTCTACTTGTTTGCCTATTTCTAACTCTCACATTATTCCTAACATTATTTCTGAGGATGACAATAATATGCTTTGCCAAACTCCTTCTGAAGAGGAGATTTTTAGAGTTATCAAGGATCTCAATAGTAGTGCGGTGGCTAGACCTGATGGTTTTACTACTAAATTCTTTCAAGATAATTGGGATATTATCAAAGAGGATGTTATTAATGCTATGGAGGATTTCTTTGCTGGTAACCCCTACCCTAAATTTTTCTCTTCTACTTATATTGTGCTGATCCCTAAATGTGATGGCCCTAATCACTGGCATGATTTTAGACCTATCAGTTTGTGTACTTTTCTCAACAAGTTGAACTCTAAAATCATTGCGAATAGACTTATTAACATTTTGCCTAGAATTATCTCTTTGAATCAAATGGGTTTTGTGAAAGGTCGTAGCATTTTTGATAATATTTTGTTAGCTCAAGAAATCACTCATGATATCAATGTTAAAATTAAAGGTGGCAATGTTATTTTTAAGCTTGATGTTTCTAAAGCATAAGACAACCTTAACTGGAATTTCCCTCTATGAGGTTCTTTCTCTTTTTGGTTTTAGCAGATCTTTTATTTCTCTTATCAAAAATAGTATTGAAAACTATTTTTTCTCTGTTATTATTAATGGCAAGCACAATGATTTTTTCAAATCTTCCAAAGGCTTAAGACAAGGTGATACTATGTCTCCTGCTCTCTTCATTATTGCTATGGAATTTCTTTCTAGAGGTCTTAATGATTTATACTTGAGACATCCTAATTTAAATTATCGTACTATTAGAGGTTTACCTATATCTCACCTTAGCTTTGCTGATGATTTCATTCTGTTCACTAATGGTTCTATTAACAATATCTCTTTACTGTTGAACTTCCTGATCAGCTTTTATAATCATAGTGGTTTATCTATTAACAAAGCTAAAAGCTCTTTTATTGTTAGCAGTTCTGTCAATCAGAACAGAATTCAAAGATTATGTGGTTTTATGCCTAAAGCTTTACCAATTATGTACCTTCGCACCCCCATCTATAAAGGTAAAAAAAGGAATTATCTTTTTGATAACATCTTTTCTAAGATTGAGAAGAAGCTTAACAATTGATCCTCTAATTTTTTATCTTATGGTGGTAGGCTCACTCTGATAAAGTCTGTTCTTAACTCGATGCCTATTTATCTATTTCATACCTTATTACCTTCCACTTCCATTTGTACCAAGCTTGAGAGGATTTTAAACAAGTTTTTTTGGGGCTCCTCTCTCAACAATAAAGGCATTCATTAGTCCTCTTGGGATAAAAATTGTGGTGTGTTGTCTGAAGGTGGCCTTGGTTGCAAATCTTTAACTGATTCGGCTAAAGCTTTTTCTTTTAAATTATGGTTTTCTTTTAGATCTAACGTCAGTCTTTGGGCTCGTTTCATGAATATTAAATACTGCCCTAAGACTCATCCCTCTTTATGCTTTTATAGGAATACTGACTCGTTTATTTGGAAGAGGCTGTGTAATATTAAGTGGGAGGCTGAACAGTTCATACAATGGGGTCTTGGCAAAGGTGATATTTATTTATGGCAAGACAATTGGCTTGGGTCTTCTTCTATTGACACTATGCTGAATACGCATTCTACTAGTAATATTAAAGTTTCTCAGTTTTTTCAAAATGACTTGTGGGATATTGCTAAAATTAGAGAGGTGGTTCCTCCCTTCATTGTTGATAAAATTTTAGAGGTCCCTCTCCAAATGCAAGATAAAGATTTAATTTTATTTTCTCTATCTAATTCTGGAAATTTTATTTTAAAGGATGTTTGGAATTATTTCAGAATTAAAAAGGAATGTTCTACTCTTTACTCGGCTATTTGGCATATGAACTTTCCTTTATCTTATTCTATTTTAATTTGGAGATGTATCAAAGGATACATTCCTGTGGATTTTAGGCTTCAAATGAAAGGTTTTCAACTATCCTCTAAATGTCTTTGCTGCTCGGATATTGAGACGATTGATCACCTCTTTGTGTCTGATGTCATTGCCCAAACTGTTTGGAGTTATTTTGGTAATATTGCTAATAGACCTTTGCTTGCTACGCATGATGATTTTATTTTTGTTATCAAAATTTGGTTCCAAAACTCTAAAGGTCACATTTTAAATCTTATCCCCATTCTTATTGTTTGGTTTATTTGGAAATCCCGCAATGATGCTAAGCACAATAGTATTGATATGGATGCCACTACTATTATTTCTAATGTTAAACACAAAATTCTTCAAATGCATTCTTACAAACTTATTTCTAAGAAGAATTTCAAAAACTGTGTTCATTTGGCCAATTCTCTGGGCATTCATTTTGCTGATATTTACACTGCTGTTGTTGATAAGATGGTGAAGTGGATCAAACCCAAATCACCTTACATTAAGCTTAATACTGACGGTTCTCTTGGCCCTAACGTTGCTGGTGCTGGCGGTATTATTAGAGATGAGGTTGGTAAAGTTTTAGCTGCCTTTTCGGCCCCTATTAATTGCAATACCGCGATTACTGCGGAGATTCATGCTCTTCTCCTTGGGTTGAATATTTGCACTAATTTAGGTATTAGATTTATTTGGATTGAGGTTGATGCTTTGCTTCTTATACAGATTATTAACAATATGGTTCCTGGTAATCCTGAGAATTTTTATCTTATTAGAAAGCTTAAGCTTTCTCTGTCTAGTTTTCATTATGTTATCTCTCACATTTTCCGTGAAGCTAATGTTTGCGCTGATTGGTTAGCTAAGCGTGGTTGCAATATTTTTCATTATGAATAATTAAATCTTACTGATTTGCATCCGCTCCTTCAAGGTATGATCATGTTAGATAATTCTGGTTTACCCTATATTAGGTATGGTTAATTTCTTGTTTGCTGTGTTGTTCCCTGTTATTTTCTTTGGCGTTCCTTTTTTCTCTTTTGGATTGGCGGATTGTGCAGTTTCTGAGCATCTACTGCTTCAATTTTTTTTGGCTTGTTTTGGGATGTTCTCTGGCTACTTTCATTCTACTTACTGGTCTATGTCAAATCTGGTTATTCTTCTCTGTTTCTTTCAACCGGTTTGTAGTAGGGCTTCTTGGTTTTTTGAGATGCAGCGGAGATCTCTTATTACTTTTTTGAACCTTTTTTATTGCTGCCCGAGCACAATGACCTGCTACTCTACGTCGCTGGATGCTTGCTTTCTGAATGGCTGCATCGACCACTTTTTCTTTTCCCTGTCGTTGTGTTATTTCATATGCTCTCATTGGTTTTTTGGAGATATCTATGCAGGTTATCATCAGCTCCTCCGCGTTCTACCTTCTTTGTTATCCAGGTTTTTTTCTGGTTGGTTCTTTTTGTGCTTCTTTTTTTGCCTTTTCTTTTTTGCAGAAAGTGGATGCTGAACTCTTATCTTCAGAACTTCCTTTTTTGGGTGTCGTCTGCTCACAGCACCATTAGTACTAACGTTTATTTAAATTGTATTATTAGGATAAGGAACCACGGACTCGTAGGTCTTTTTTACTTTTTGATTGTAGCTCATTCGAGCATTAGTGAGTCTGTGGATCCTTTTAAGGACTATGTAACCGATTTTTTGATATTAACACGTAGGCCCCAAAGTGGGTTTTAATTATATATATATATATATATATATATATATATATATATATATATATATATGAACGCGGCAAACCTAATTATAAACAATAAAAATAAGCTTTCCAGTTCACATATCTTTATAATCCTCTATTTAATACATGAAATAACAATCTTTACTAGAAAACCAAATGTAAACAAATTAAATATTCATGCAGAATAGAAAGAATTACGTACCCTGCACACTAAAATATATAAATATATATAGATTTCATTCTTGTCTCCTTGTCAACTTAACCTTCAGTCCATGCTTCATGTACATGGTGAGAGCCAGCTTTGGGAGAACTGGATGGCCTTTAACAACACTGATATGATAGCGCAGAAGAATATTAGCTGCGACGAACTTCATCTGGTAGTAGGCGAAGTCCTTACCCAAACAAAGCCTTGGGCCTCCATTAAAGGAGACGAATTTGTACGCCGATTCGCTCATAAAACGACCATCTCTTAGCCACCTTTCTGGCTTATAATCCCTGCAGTCCTTTCCCCATATGCTCTCCATTCTTCCCATGCTGTAGATTGAATATACTACCTTTGTTCCTTTCTTCAGCACAGTTCCATCAGGAAATACCTCATCTTTAATCACCTATTGATCAATTGCAGTTGCAGTACATTAACTTGGTTAAGATGTAGAAAACATGTTAAAAGAACATTTTTGTTGAGTATTTTGCTCAGATTTCTCACGGTGAATGAAGGGGTGTCAAAAGAGCTAGCTCCTTGTGTGTTGCTCGTGTTTGGCTAGTTTTGGTGAACAACTCATATTAGACTCAATATGTTAGAGAGTTGCATATCAAAACGGATTAACAAGTCGTGTTTATGCTCGATCCCAATTCCAGTCAACACAAATTCAACCCGTTTAATAAACATGTAAAAATGTGAATCCAACCAACCCGTTGGTAAAACAATTCTCAAAACACTATCCAATAACCCATTTTGATAAAAAAACCAATCTTTTATTGCAGGTCATTTATAGAGTTTATATTAATCGAAAAAAAAAATAAAACAATTATATCAATAAGACAAAGAATCAAAAATAAATATTTAAAGGATCACTTTCGATTCAAAATTGGATTTGCGGGTCGAATTGAATCTTACCAATTCAATCAATAGGTCAGAATTTGGAACAGGCCAGCTTGAACCTGAATTTTTTGTGTTAGGCCATTTATTTACCCACATAGTTGTAATTTACTTTCCTTTATTTTTTGTTCATACATACTTCATTTTAGCTTTTAAAATTTTTTATTCGGTGAACTTTCTCATCATTTTTTAATAGATATTATAGACTATGTATATAATTAGTGTAATTAAATAATCTATTTAATAAATTCTAATCACATGTCTTTTAACACACTAATCACGCAAAAAATGACACGTTTTAGGTGGTTAATCAGCCTTGTCAGGTGATCGTGTGATTCTATTAGCAGATGATTATTTTAGAGTCTGATATGTGATCACCTACCTAATGCTAATTATTTTGTCAAACTTCACCCTAACGACATTAATTAGCATGAAGTAGATCTGTGGATTTATTAATAAGTGTGGATGATTATTTTTATCCTATAAGGTCAATTCCTCTTATTCAAAGAGATAATTATATTTGTATTGCAAAAAAAAAAAAAAGTCTTGATAAAACCTAAAAATTATCATAGAAAACATTAAAAATAAATTAAAGAAGAAGAAGAATATGCATATACTTAGGATTCGTTTGGGATAATTTTCTAACTTCTTTTTCAAGCAATTTTTTAGTGCAAAAATTTCTAATAAAAAAATTGTACTATAAAACTATTTAGAAATAACTAAAAAGTTGTCTCAAATGAAACCTAAAGCAGTTTTTTAGTACAAAAATAAAAATATTTGTAGTAGAAATGTACTCTTTTTTTTGAAGAAATGTAAATAGCATTAAAAGAAAAAAAATATATTACAAACTAGAAATCAAAATCAAAACCCCTTAAAACTATCATAATGGATATGCGATCCACTAAATTTCATTTTAGATCCATTTGGATGATGGGAATACCAAATATTTAAACAACCTAAAAGATTGGTTAGTATCCCAGCTTTCCCAAAAGATGAAAAATAAAACCTAGTAAAAATCCCATATATCATTAAAAAAGCCATTAAAAACCTAGTAGAAATGTACTTTAAGAAGCATTAAAAAAGTCATTCTAAAGGAAGCTTTAGTTGGGAAAACTTTTGTATTGCTTTCAATGTTAGCAGTACAAAAATTTTTAAAAGTAACAAAAAAAGCAATTTTCAAAAGTTGTCCCAAATAAGCCCTTATTTTCTTATAAAACTTCTGTCTTTTTTTTCAAATATTAAATTTTTTAAAGGCATATCACTTAATTTTTAAATATTTGAAAATATTCTAACGTCAAAATTTAATATTTACTTATATAATAAAAGTTCTAAGATACATAAAAATATTATTAATAATAATTTCTTAAAGTGAAATACATATTTTGATGTGAATGAGATACTAAAATATTATAAAAATAAATATTAAATTATATATATTATTGTGCCAGATATGTGTAAAATGCAAATTACCTATTTTTAAAAAAGTTAGTGTTTATGTTTTTGTTAATTTTATTTATATTATTTTTTATTGATTGAAAGAATTATCAATACATAATAATACAAGTAAAAAGAAAGATAATTTATTATATAATATATCAATTTACCCTTTGTATAAAATTAAAATATATTCATTTACAATAATAACATCTTAATTTCGATATTTTCCACAAAACACAATCTCATATATATTTTTTATTTTATTAAATTTAATATTTTGGTTTCATAAATCTTAGATAAGAAAAATTAGCTATCATAAATAATTAATATTTTTTTTTTCACATAATATCAGCAGTAAAAAAAATTATTAAATAAAATAATTAATAATAAATTATAAATAAAAATTACCTCTTTGTGATCCACAGGCACTGATGGATATAACCGGAGCGCCTCCGATATCGCCGCCTGCAAATACTCCATTTTCTTCACCTCCGCCGGCTGGAAAACCACTTCCGGCCAATCAATTTCTCCTTCCCCTCTCTCTTTCACTATCCTCTTGAGCTCCTCCACTATCTTCTCCTCCACCGTCTTATTCCTCTCCAGCAACCAAAAGAACCAGGTCAGCGCCACCGATGACGTGTCCCTCCCAGCCAATATAAAGTTGACACATACATCCCTCAAAAACTCATCTGAATATCTCTCTCCTCTTCCTTCCTCGTCCTTCTCCTTCATAAACGCCGTCAACAAATCCGACCTCGCCGCCGCCCCCTCCGACCTCACCTCCTCCCTCCTCTTTCGTATCACTTCGTAGGCGAACTCGTCGACCCCTTCAATCGATCTTCTCAGCCTCCTCTCGCTCCCAATATCGAGCATTCTCATTGCCTTCCACAGCGCTGTCGGCATCACGAATCGTTGTATCGTTCCCTCTGTCGCCTCCTCGAAAGCCGTCGCGAATGGAATATTCGGCAAACCTTGTCGGAGGCATCCGGGGTCGATGCCAAAGGCGATTGTGCACACGTTGTCGAAGGTTAACCGGAGAAGCACGTCCTGTAAGAGTAGACCATCAGTTGCTTGATAAATCCGTATATTTAAAAAATCAAATATGAACAAGTTAAATCTTATTTGATTATATTTGACTTTGCAGTAGTTTGATATATTATAATTTTATATGCATTGAAATTTAGATAAATTTATATCCTTGTGAGTTGTGAATGAATATTCTTATATTTCGTCCAACAGAAATTAAGCTTACAGATCTGCGTACCTGAAGGTCAAGGACCGCGTCGACGGTGGCGGCGGCTTCAAGCACCGGCAGTAGCCTATCATGGACAAGCTCAACCAAAGACTTCGCCGTCATGACTCTGAACTCCGATGAGTGAAACGCGAGGCTAGCTGTCTTCCTCTGTCGCCGCCATGTTTCATCATCGGCGGCAAAGATTCCGCCGCCGAGAAGATCACGAACGATGGAAGCGAAGTAAGGGCCTTTGGGAAAACTGGAAAACTTCGACTTAAGAAGATGCTCCAGGTTTCTCGGGTCAGCGGTAACGACGCACTGGAGATTGGTCAACCAAGGGCCACGGAAAGTGAAGGTTCCGCCGCGGTCCACCAGAACGCCGGTGATCCATTCGTATATGTTGCTGCGAAGTCCGAGAATAAGGGAAGGGAGCATGCCGAGGAAAGGCCACGTCACGAGGCCTTGGCGGCGCCGCTGCCGGAGGGAATGGATGGTGATGAAGATGGCGATGGCGAGGGCTAATTCGACGGTCTGGATTGTTTCCGTGAGGAGATGATCGTACAGGGTGGCGGTGGGTTTTGCAGCCGGGGAGGCGGGGATGGTGGAGTAGGTGGTGACATTACCGGAGTTCATAGTGGTGGCAGCGGGGGAGAAAGGAGAATTGGGCTTGGGGTTGATTATATACATGTATATGTATATATAAGCATATATATATATCACGAGTTATATTCAAATGTAACATGCAATTGGTATATATATCATGAGTTATATGTGGTGAGTACTTTTGTACCCATGCCGTTTGATGCAGTTGGTTTATGGTAGCTCATTGGGTATATTTTATAAATCTAGAAAATATTTTAAAAATTATATATTGCTTAAGATATTAATTAGAATGGATCTTAAAAGCTTCTAAGTTCTAACTTTATTTTGAGATAAATACAGCACAGATAATAATATTACGCTAATTTTAAAGTAGAAGCTTTCTTACTATTTTAAAAATAGTTTTCTAATATAAAATTTCTAGTTCAAAAAATTTTGATATTAGAAAATTATTTTGGAAATTAATAAAAAAGTTGTCCCGAAGAAAATCTTAGAGGCTCATCTTGATCATTTTTATTATAATATTAAGTGTTTTTTTTCAAAAGTGAGTGTTAAGAGTCTTTGGATATGCTTTGAGATAATTGCTATATATAGATAAATAATATAATTACATTAATCTTAAAATATATTCATAATAATTTTGAGATTCTTCTTAATCAATTTTTATGGGGGGATTTTTAAAAAAGAGTGCATTTAAATCATAATTAGACAGATGTTATCAAAAAATTTAAAAAGGAGCAAATTCGTTAAAATCATTTTGTGAGTTCTGAATGCATCAAATTATTTGACATATTAAGTTGTGATATGAGAGAGAGAGAGAGAGAGATGGTTGTGATAGGATAGAGAAAAAAATGTAATAGAGAGAGAGAGACACATGGAGAAATAGAGAAGAGTGATAATAATATTTAATTTTTTCTCTTTAAAATAATTAAAAATATTCTTTTTTAGGAAAATCTCATGTGCATTTAAATTTAAAAAAAAAAATTAAAATAAATATTTTTTTATAACCTTCACATCATAGCATATTTGAATATAAAAAACAATTAATATTTTCGACATAGAAATTTAAATTTTTTTAAAAAATCTGTCATCAAATAGAATTTGGTTGTTTTTTTAATGAAAATTTTTATATAGAAAGCATAAATTTTACTATATTTTCTTTGAAATTAGTTTTCTAGCTTAAAATTTATTATATTATAAGAACGTTCCTCTTTTATGTTTTTAAGAATGAAAATGATTTAACAAAGCTTTTTTCATTAGTTTCAAAAATTTTAAATTAATTTAACTCAAATCGAAACATAATATTTAAATAGTATTAAATATTAATATTATATTTAAATATTATTTAAAAAGTTTAGACTTTTTTAAATAATACTATTAGATATTAGTTAAATGTTATTTTAAATATTCAAAAAATCTCTCTCCCCATCTCTCTCTCTCCCTCTCTCTCCCTCTCTCATCTCTCTCTACTATTACTGCTCAATGCGCCAAACGATTTGGCCATTCAATACTCGTCAAATCATTTGGTGCATTCATAACTATGCCAAACGGTTTGATGGATTTGCTCCTTTTTAAATTTTTTAATAATTATGATCCCTTAGATTAATTTTTGTTTATTATTTTTTGGTTTGATGATAAATTTGTTTGGAAGGGATAAAATATTATTTACATCTTAATTAGAGTTTTGTATAAAAACCTTGTAATGATTATGGAATTATAATTTGATATAAACTGGGCATCAATGTTAGAGGTTTAGGATAATTTATTAATTATTTGGAAATCAACAAGATTGGATCGAGCTTAGCTAATTAATAAACTTTAAGGCTAGTTATTAATTTTCACCATTATAGTGAAAAACTCAAAATTAAAAGAAAATTTTAATAATGTTAAAAATTAACATCATTTTTTAAGGAAAATTTAAGTAAAAATATTATTATTAGTCATATTTTAATTATATAATCCTAAGATTATAAGAAGCGATTTTTGATGCTCTTAATAAATATTTTAAGCAAATATGTAGATAAAAATTTCTAATAAATATGATTATTCAAAATATTTATTTTTTGTAACATTTTGAGAAATCAGTTGAATATTTCAATTTGTTTTGGAGAATTTGCATCGGATGTAAAATTGATCATAATATTTGCTTTAAAATAAGTGTTACATATAATATAAGTAATTAATATTATACTAATCTCAAAATATATTAAGAATTTTTTTTAATTACACAAATCTCAAAGCATACCAAAAAAATATATTTATTTATTTTATATATAAGTATAGTTATTATTTTAGCATAGTTTTATCTCACAAAATATTTTAATCACATATTTTGATAAAATATATTATAAATATGATTAATTAAAACAATCACCAATTATAGCACCAATAAAATTAGGTTGAATATTTCAATTTGTTTTGGAGAATTTTACATCATATGCAAAAACAGTCATAATGTATGAGTTCTAAAATTATTAGATCTGTTTTGAAAGCAATTAAAAGTACACAAATCTCAAAGCTACAAAAATTTTTCATACACATTCTAATTGTTTTTTTCAAATTTTTTAATAAATGGTTGAAATTTTTTGCATCTTCATATAAATTTTATTGTTTTTTAGTATGATTACATATCCTTACTTTGAAAACAATATTTGTATTTTGTCATCATGAAGAAGAATTTTGCTCTTTAAGAGAGGCGGTTGTGATTTGTGAATATAGAATGATAAAATAATATACATGACGAGTATATGAGGATTAGGTAGGACAAAGGGAGGGTGGCCAAACATAATTGTCTTGCATTTGAGCTATTCTACAAAACTTGTAACAAGAAATGGTCTATAAATGCAAGAAGCCATATGTCACATGCATGCATGCTTTATCATGATTTGCTTGCAAAGCTTTTAATTAAGAACTATGGTTGGTTGAGGGGTTGATTTGTTGTATTGTTTATTGATGATGACATTAAAGCTAATTAAGTAGATTAATTATATTTAAGCATAAATTATGGTTTCATGATAATGATCATAGTTGGTTCTTATGTCATTGATTGATTTTTGTTTGGTTTTTAAGAGATAATTTGAGAAGATTAATTTCTTTATAGTTTTAGTCCTTGTTATGTCTCATACAAGCTTTAATTAGGATAGGATGATTCCATTAATTGTTTTACTCTATGTTTGAAAGAGACCTTTTGTAATTTGGGTGGATTAGTCTAACTTGTGAAAGAAAGGTTTAGGGAGAAAGATTAAATTTTGGATTTCATTAATATAATTATATATGATTTGACATAATTTGTAGTAAGTGTGGTCTTTAATCATAGATTTATTTAATAATCTTGAACCATACATAAGTAATCATAATTTATAAACTCAAATTTTATTAAGAGAAACTTCAAATTAATTAAACATATGGATATTCAAATAATATCTAAATAAGTTGGCTCTCACTCTGAGGCTTCGTTTAGGATGACTTTCTTACTGCTACTTAAAATAATTTTCTAGCTAGTACAAAAAATTTAGTTTTTATACTAGAAAGCGGCTTTAAGAATTAATAGGAAAATCGTCCAAAATGAAACATGAGCTAGGGTTTCTCATGCTCATCTACTCTTTAATTGTTATATCAAATCACCTTCCTGATTTTCTTTGGTCATATCTCCTCTAATTTTGAGCTAGCTGGCCTTTAGCTCTCGGCAAAGGTTGAAAAAATTGTATTTAAGAGAAAAAATCTTATGTCCTAGATTTCTTCTGTTAATGGAGATTAACAAGTTTGAAAGTTTTTTGCTTACTTAAAAATTGCTTATGGATCCTGCTCGTCTCCCTCAAGCTAAATTCATTCAAGGCTGTTTCGTTTTAGTTTCATCCTTAAAAAGTAGGGAAATTGATCAACCTCTCACATTCTCAGTGCCTTCTTCTTCGTCAACGATTCTTGTTTGCGTGTGATAGTTTAAGAATTATTATAAACGAAGTCTCCATCTCTGATTAGCCGACGATTTTCATTAAAGATTAGTGATTGATGTTATATGTTTATAACCTACACCATAAACCTAGAAAGATGTTTTATCCGAGATAGATAGCTTTAAAAATTAATTTCTCAAAATATATTTTAACCTTGATCAATACATTTATAGCACATTAAAAATACTTCGAAGCTTATTTGAAGCATATTTGCATTTTGAAAATAGGATTGAAAAATAGTTCAAAAAAGTTTGATCATGTGCAAAGCAATGTTCGATCAGGGTCAAAATAATTTTTGAGTAACGGTAAAAATAAATTTTGAACAATAATCGAAGAATCTTCTACCAAGTTTTCAGCAATACTCGGGTATTTGATTGATCATCTATTTGATGAAACTTCGAACAAAAGTTCAAATTTATTATTTTGCACTTATTTGAGTTATCTTGTTCTGCATGCAAATATATGCTTAGTTCACATGCCGATATAGGTTTTATAGAGAAAATTATAAGACAGTTTGAACCATTTGAGACTTAACATCATCGTGTCTAATATCAGATAAAAATACACAACATTTGAATATGCAAATGCTTACTCTTATATTTCTGTGAATATGCTAATTTCAATGGATGTACTGCTACTTCTACTTAATGTGGTGCTATAAATCTAGGGGTGTCAATATTTGACACGACAAAAAAATCTAACTCGAACCCAACCCGGAAATTTCAGGTTTGACCCGACCAGATTTCAAAATGTGTCGGGTTCGAGTTCCAGGATTCGACCTGTTTAAAAATAGGTCGGGTTCGGGTTGACTCGATGGTTCCCAGATTAACTCGAAAATCCATTTAAAATGAGCTGCCCGGGAACCTGCCCCAGCTGCTCGCACACAGCCCACGGCTGCTCGCACCCTACCGGCCCAGCTGCCCGTGTGACCGCGCCTGCCAGCTGCCTGCGCCTACCAGCCAGCAGCCCACGTGCGCCCGTGCTTGCCCTGCTCATCCGTTCACACTCGCGCACACCCGCCATTTGCGCATTCCTCCTTCTCAAGTCGAGTCGGGTCAACCCGACGGGTTGGGTCCGGATCCACATTCTGACCCTTTTACATACCAAGGTCAAGTTAGGGTTAACGCGTTTGAA